AAGGACCAATCCAAAATTAAGTTGGATTCATACTTCTCAATCCTAACCCTAACCTAAACTTCAACCCATCCAACCCTACCCTATTTATAGGAGACTGGGTTAAAGTTGGATTCAGACAATTACAGCCTTATTTATAGTGTTCAAACTTCCATTCTATGGCGTTTCAATCTTTTGAAGCTTCCGCAAGTGCAGCGCATGCGATCTGATAGCCAAGCGAATGAAACCAGGGCTGTCAAAATGAATGAAAACCATGCACATTACCTCTTATCCCCTAACTAGCATGGTCTACTTTAGGACAATTTATGTTTTTCGTTTAGCACAACATTGAGGTTTGTTTAGAACAAATTATGTGTAAACTGAACAGCTAAACCTTGCTCCATTAATGGGGGTATACAAGGATAAATACCATAGATTTGGCTCGTATTTGATTTATGTTGGAAATTGAATGGTATTTTTTATTTAATTTTTTTGGGTAAAGGTTTTTAAATTTCAATGCCTTTAGATGATATATAAATTGATGTAAAAAATAAAATTTCAAAATCCTTGTAATTTTTAATTTAATAACAAGTGTTTACACAAATCAAATATTGTTTCGAAAATATTTTCTTTGAATACCATTTTATCGGAATTTGATGTGGTGAATGTTTGATAGGAAACAAGAGAAAGGAAAAAAATACCCTTTTTTTTATCGATTGAAGTTAATCATAGCCCAATGGGTACCTTTACCAATTTTACTGACATTCCGCATTCAGGTCTATTTGTGTGGAGTCCGGATCTCTTACTTATGTTTATCACAGCCACACATGAAGAATATCTCATCCTCTCCATAGTAATGTACAGGGGGAGATGTTCCTAATTCATGAGGGGTAGTGTATTAAGGGTAGGCGTGAGCAGAATTCTCGTGGACAGGTGATCTTAACTCATTTGTGTCAGGGTCACCATCGGCAATATTTGGATACCATCAATTTTACCGGTGGTCATGTCTGCTGGCTTTAACTTTAGTTATGCCCAATTGTCATGGGGCTAATCGTTGGGACCCCGTGCGGCACTTGAATGCGACAAGTAAGCCTAAGAAACAAGCAACAACACAAGAAAATGCAATAAAGATGGCACACGAATTAGAAAAATGCTACTTGTATTGCATTAATGAATGGCAAGCATAAGCACATAGTTCAGTGTCAAGGGGATCTCATGCTTAACCTTTACATGCTCATGACTCACTCGACTACCTACCTCCCCTCAAAGAGTACGTTAAGCTTTTGGGGGAGTGACAATAAGAAACATTAAAAAGGTGAAAAATTATACTACAGTATTACAATAATGCCATTGGCAATCCCCCATACAAAAGTACATGCATAGCCCACCCATGACATACACTTGGACACTGGAGTGGCGGTTGTAGGCACGATGGACGGCACTTGATGGCGCGGCAAAGAGAACACTTGTTACAGTCTCCCCCACTCAATTCAGTCTTCGTCCTCAAAGACTAGCTTCTGCTTGAGGCTCCGATCTGCTGTTGATGAAGGAAGGTTCTTCAGCTGCTCCACGAAGTTTATCTCTTCCAAGGCCCGGGCATGATGATGGGTGGAAGTGTTCAAGGCATTATGGATGGTGGGAAAACCTATGGCTAGTCCCTATGGTAAGTCCTTGCCTGACTGCTTCAAGGTAGGATTTTGGTTGCTCTAGCTTGATGTTAGGAAGGTTTGTGGCCAGGGCTAAGTCAAAATGATATTTTGGATTGTTAGGGTGTTGGTTCCCATACATTTTTCCTCAAGGGTGACTCACAAGGCTACTACTGGATTCGACCTGAGGGATGATGTGAATGTGATCCCTAAATGGCTTGGGTGGCACTCGCTCTCCCCGGTGGTTGTGGTAGTAGATGTGGGCAAGGTTTGACACGGCCTTGGGTCTTCTGTTGGGCCCATCAATTGCAGGCACTTGCGGCTTCTGCTGCGAAGTTGACTTCCGCTGATGTGGTTGGTGTTGAAGCCGATGCGGATGCCAAAGTTGGTGCTGACTTGGGTGCTGGCATTGGCGTTGGAAATGGAACTGCTTTAGGGGAGACTTCTTCCTTGTGACGACTTCCCAACCAGTTCCAGTGTCGATGTGAGATGCTTGACAGGGGTTCTTCCTTGTTGACGCGGCGTTGTCTTCTTGGTTGCTGGTTTCTTGGTACAACTGCAAGGCTGAAAGTTGCTTCCCAAGTATCTGCAAGGTTGATGAGACAGGAACCATGCAAGGGGAGTATTCGTCCAAAATAAGTAAGCTGTTGATGTGTGGCATAAGTGCTGCTTCCGCCTGCGTGAGGAACTCCACCCCAAGAACAATCGGAAAATCATCCAAGGGTACCACAGATAGATTGATGGGTCCTTTCTAGGGTCCCACTTGGAGTTCTACTCCACGAGCCATGCCCTCTACTGCTTTGGCCCCGGAGTTGATAGCCTTGACCCACCCTGTTTGTTTGGTGGTGGTCAAGCCGAGTCGTTTTGCCTCCGCAAGCGAAATGAAGTTGTGGGTGGCCCCAATGTCCACCAGGGCTTGGGTTGGCCTCCCGCCAAGGGTGATGTCTACATAATTCAGCCCCTTGTGGGCTTTGGTGGGTCGCTTTGATGTGGCCTCTTTCTTGACCATGGCGTTGATGAACTGGAGGGCACCCACTCTTGGCGCCGCTATGGGTTTCTCCTCATCGCTCTCTTCACTATCGCTGAGTTTGGCGATGAGGGCAGTTATTTTCTTTCGTGTAGGACAGTCACTCGTCCAATGCTTCCCATTGCAAAGGTAACAAGGTGCAGGAGGAGGTCTCCTAGTGAATTGGTGGCCCTGATAGCTTGGGCCTCCTTGTGGCTTCTTTCCTTGTTGGTAATTGTAGGGCTTGTTCGCGGGCACTGGTTTCTCCTGTGTAGAGGCTGCTTTCTGATCTCCCCCACTGAAGCTGTTGGTATGCGGGCTGTGTGGATGGAGGTCTTCCTCTTCTGACTTCCTCAAATCAACTAGTTGCTCGGCCACCACCATGGCTGTTGCTAAGTCCTTCACCTTACGCCGTTGTAGTTCAAGTTCTGCCCAGGGTTTGAGACCATCCATGAAGTTGAACAGAAGGTCTTTGTCGGACATGTCGGAGATCTCAAGGGTCTGGGCTGAGAACTCTTGGACATAGTCATGTAATGAGTCTTGGTGCTTCAGGTTCTTCAACTTCCTTCGTGCCAAGTACTCAACATTTTCGGGGAAGAACTGTCGCTTGATTTCTCTCTTGAAGTTGGCCTAGGTGTCGAGGGTCCGAGTGCCACATTCAATGTCCATGCAACATCTACACCACCATAACATCACAATATCATTTAAATACATGGCGGCGGTACGTACCTGTGTTATTGCTCAAGTTGCCACAAGAAATTTTCAAGATCCCAAGCATCACGAGCACCAGAATATGGAGTTGGTTGGCGCACCTTGATGTGGGTGGATGGAGCAGATGAAGGGCTGGTGGAATTGGCCATAGCTCTTTTCATGATTGTCAACTCGGCCCTCATCTCATCCAATTGCGCTTGGAAGCTGTCCATCACACCTTGAAGGCTACTTTGGGAAGGGCCGGCTTGTGCCTGTTGCATTGTGTTCTAGACGTCCTGGAGGACTCCGTTAAAGCGGCTCTCCAACTCCACCACAGCATTCTCTACCGTTTCCATGTTGAGATGGATTTCTTCAACCCGATCGCGAGTCTCACCTACTGTTGCTTCACAGCGTAGGATGCGCATATCCATGCTTGCTAGTTGGTCGACAGATTTGTCACGCTTGCTAGCTTTAGTTGTTCGGCCCTTTGGGGCTTGCATGTTGGTAGGATCATCGAGTAGAGCCTCATCGGTGTTGTGGGCTTGGTGTAGCCTGTGTAGTGTGTCATCGACAATGTCACGGTTGCTCTTCATTGTGCTGGAGTAGGGGCGAAGACAAGGTCCAATGTGTGTGTGTAGGAGCTCCTGCTCTTATACCAACTGTCACGGGGCTAGTCGTTGGAACCCCGTGCGGCACTCGAATGCGACAAGTAAGCCTAAGAAACAAGCAACAACACAAGAAAATGCAACAAAGATGGCACACGAATTAGAAAAAGGCCACTTGTATTGTATTAATGGATGGCAAGCATAAGCACACAATTCAGTGTCGAGGGGATTTCATGCTTAACCTTTACATGCTCATGACTCACTCGACTAACTACCTCCCCTCAAAGAGTACGTTAAGCTTTTGGGGGAGTGACAATAAGAAACATAATGCCATTGGCAATCCCCCATACAAAAGTACATGCATAGCCCACCCATGACATACACTTGGACACTGGAGTGGCAGCTGTAGGCACGATGGATGGCACTTGATGGTGTGACAAAGAGAACACTTGTTACACAATGGTCTGATAATGGACTATTCCGATTGTCTGCCAAAAAATAAAAATAAAAAACTGTCGTTTTAGCTCTGAGATGGGATTCTCACTCCCAAAGGAGAGGGATATTTGGAAAATGCCATTCCATATTCCACCGGGAATCGAAATCCGCCGAATCTGAAATTGAAACGGGACTTTCCGATTCCAATTTCCAGACATTTTTAAAGGCTTCCTCTAGAACTTTACGGGCAATGTTAAATTCAAATTTCAAAATGAAGGCCACCGTCACCGTTGCAAAGAAAAGAAGAAAGTTGGGCGTAACGGCCGCGTCATTTTTTTTTTATTATTTCAAAATTTCAACGCCAAAATGCTAAAATAGTAATAAAAAAAGGCAAAGAGGGTGGGTTAAGTTAAGCCTACAGACGGCAGACGCTCCACGCGGACACGCTCCCCGAATCAGCCCCCCACAAGATTACTCCTACAACGTCCTACGGCACATCCCGGCCGTGTATTGCGAACATCTTTCGATGGTAATCTCAGAAATAATGATATCGCCATCGAGAAGAGAAGTCGCTCCGCTCTCTATTATTAAAGATTTAAAAGACCCGAACTCGCTCCGCTCTGGCCCTCTCTATTATTAAAGATTTTAAAGACCCGAACTTTCCCTCCCTTCTAAGCATTTCAAAACAATCAATCACAGAAAACAGAATAGAGCCATCGAAGCAAAACGAAAAGTACAAAGCATATTAAAGAGAAGAGAACCAAAATAGGGTTTCTCCAGAAGAAGAAAAAGACTTGATCGGATCAGCGGATATCAATAGAGATGGAGAAATATGAAAAGCTGGAGAAGGTCGGAGAGGGCACGTATGGTAAGGTGTATAAGGCACAGGACAAGACGACGGGGCAGCTAGTGGCTCTCAAGAAGACCCGGCTTGAGATGGACGAAGAAGGAGTACCACCCACGGCCCTCCGCGAGGTCTCGCTCCTTCAAATGCTGTCTCACAGTCTTTACGTCGTAAGGTTGCTGTGTGTTGAGCATGTCGACAAGAATGGCAAAAGACTGCTTTATTTGGTTTTCGAGTATCTCGACACCGATCTCAAGAAATTCATCGATTCTTATCGCAAGGGGCCCAACCCCAGGCCCCTCCCTCCTTCCCTCATTCAGGTTCTTACTCTCTCTCTCTCTAAGCTTTGTTTCAAAGAGGGGATTTGAATTCACGGAGGGTTCTGATTCGTCAAAGTTCTTTTGGTACCATGCCTTTTCTACATCGTAGAAATTGCTGGGGATTGAATGAGTTTTAGAGTTGATGGGGATGGATGTGAATTGGGCCAGTGGAGATTATGAAAATGAGAGCTGGGTTCCTCTCTTTTTCTTCTGGCTTCGCTTGTTTTTGCAGTTGATCGTCAATCAAACAAATCCAGATATTTTGTTCTTTGTTATTGTTCTTAATTGATAGTTAAAGTGACAGTTGTCCCTGTTTCTCTCTCTTCGTGCTTGTGTATGTTTTTTTAGAATATAAACAAATTCTGCAGGTGACTTACTCGAAACTCCTCTTTTTTTTTCCTGTCGATTACAGAGCTTCTTGTATCAATTATGCAAAGGGGTTGCCCATTGTCACAGCCATGGTGTGCTTCACAGGTTGTATACAACAATGTTCCTTTTTGTGTTTTCCTTTTTTCCCTTTTATTTCATGATTCTATTATTTATTTTCAACATTAGTCATGATCCCGTCAAAAATGAAAATACGTTATGTTTAATCTTGTTGATGTATTTAACAGAGACCTGAAACCTCAAAATCTTTTAGTGGACAAAGAGAAGGGTATACTGAAAATTGCTGATCTTGGGCTTGGAAGGGCCTTCACTGTCCCTCTTAAAAGTTATACACACGAGGTTTTTCCCATTTAGACTGAGTATTTAGGATCTTCATATAATTCGATCATTGTTGGATTAAAGGTTCTGATTTTTCTTGGGCCTTTTATTGATTGCAGATTGTTACACTCTGGTATAGAGCTCCAGAAGTCTTGCTAGGAACAACCCATTACTCGACTGGGGTGGATATGTGGTCTGTTGGTTGTATATTTGGTATTTTCAATCTTTCTCTTCCTTGTTACTCTTTGATAAAGTGCAATTTTTGTTTCTCTATTGTCATGTAAGCTCTTGCTTCCTGAACACAATCATGCTTATTAAGTTAGAAACATCTTATTTCCTGAAAAAAATTACGTTAGTTGTATATGTGGTTCAGATATCTTCTGCATTTTTATGAAAAGACAATCATCTTAGGCGCCGAAGTATATCTACATGTGTAGGTTTGCTAGGTTGTTCAGATTTCTTCATCAAATGACCTGAGAAAAACACCAACTATATATAGCCTGAAAACCAAGGGTGATTCCCACTCTTAGTTTCATATGGTTGGGGCAGTTTTGTGTGATATTGGAACCACGAGCTTGTTGGGTTTTGGTGGGATGGACTTGATACGGACAGGCTGTCTGTGATCTTGGGTGAGATGGACTTGACATGGACCCAACCTCTTGCATGAACTGCGGGTCTTGGACTCAAACCTGAGCTTTCACACTTGTCAGTTCTGATTTGACCACCGCACCAAGCAAGGGTGTCTAGTGGATGAAATAAGGGATGCCAATTTTTATCCATGGTTGCTTTGATTTCTGAGGTCTTTGATGACCCAAGTTGTCTTACCTTGTGGTTTTCCCACTTTAGCATGGTTTAGTGCAAAATTAACCACTTCCATTAGACTCAGACCACACTATAACAAAATTGGATCACTTGATTCATCTATTTTTTCACCTAATTTTGCAATAGGGGATGCCAATTTTTATTATCCTTGTTTGTTTTGTTTTCTAAGGTCTTTCATGACCCAATTTGTCTGATCTTGTGCTTTTCCTACTTTAAGCATGGTTTAGTGAAAACTAAACACTTCCATTTAGACTCAGACCACACTACAGAAATATGGATTACTTGTTTCATCTACTTTTTTCAATTAATGTTGCAATAGGGGATGCCAGTTTTTATCCCTGTTTGCTTTGATTTCTGAGGTCTTTCATGACCCAGTTTGTCTTATCTTGTGCATTTCCCACTTTAGCGTGTGTCTAGTGAAAATTAACCACTTACATTAGACTCAGACTGCACTACAGAAAAATGGATCACTTGTTTCATCTAATATTGTAATGGTAACTCATTAGTATATTATTCATTGTGAGTATTAATGTTAACACTGCCCCAGTAAACTCTTCCTAGAGTTCTATTTTCTACTTAACTCATACAAATCCATGTACTGATACCATGTAATCGATGTCATGCTAAGTGTCTCTTTTGAGAGAGAGTGGTAAAGTATTTCATTAAATAAACTAAACATGTATACAGACCTTTCCCTGTAATGCACTGGACAAGGAAAGTATTAACTTTGTACATCCCAAAAAAATCACTATTCATCAAATCATACAATAAGATTCCTATGATAAAAAAAGAGCTGTAAAGATTGCTATGATAAAAAACCACTATTCATCAAATCATGCCAAGTCTCTTTCACATCAAGCAAATATAAGCAAAAACCTAGCTTAGTAATTTATGATTTCTTGCTTTTAAGAAAAAAGAAGATTAAGACATTTGCAAAAGATACCTAGCCCCAAGACTCTTTCATTACATAAATGATATCATGCTCCTTGCAACCGGTGCCAGTTTTATCACCTTTGATGATTATTGATCTTGAATAGACTTGTTAAGATATGCATGATAAACAAAAAGTTTAATGAGTAAATCAAGCAAATGTTGCCCCCATCCTCAATCGAACTGTCAAATTTCCTTATGGTAATATTTTCTGTACTAAACTTTTAATACAGGATACTGAAGCTGGGTCATTTCTGAAGCAAAAGCCAACTCTTGGCTTTTTTTAGTTGCTGCCTATCATGAGAATTGTTGCCACTTTACATTTGTCCTTTCTTTGGCTGTAGTTGTTATTCCTGTGATTTCTTATTAGAAAACCACTGCCTTTTATTCCTTCTCTCTGTTTTAACTTAATATTTTTCCTCTTTCCTTTGCAGCTGAAATGGTAAGAAGACAAGCTTTATTTCCTGGTGACTCAGAGTTGCAGCAACTACTTCATATTTTTAGGTATAGGCATTTATATTTACAATTGCTGGTTCTGCGGAAGAAACCTATGTTATATGTGCCTCTATTACTCCATTTTCTTTTCTCAACTAGATTTAGGACTTTAAGAATATATATTTAACTTTCAACCATTCAAACTTCTGAACTAGTAAAAGTCTTAATTGAAAATTTTGGCTTAATTTTATGGATCTAATTTTGATTCCATTAGGTTCTTGTCTCTCTGTTGAAAAAAGGATCTAAAGTATTCGATGATATCATAGACCATAGTCGATCCACATTTATCACCTTGTTTTGGATAGATAATGGTAGTCCACACTGTTTTTAACTGACTATAAATTCAATAATGATGATGATGATGATGATGTATTAGCTATTCTGGTTAATATGCCTAGTGTAAGACCACTGTAACAAGGCAAAGGCGATGAACACATCTCCGGAGGTCTGAGAAAATGGCAGTGGAGTTGTTCATATATTTTTCTTAGCCACCTGTCAGCCACTGGTTGATGCCCATGCTACTCTTATAACTTGTCTTAAATTAGTGTCTTGTACACCAGGTTGATCATTAGACTGATCCGGTTCTGTTTTGCTTCACAATTGATTGAACAGGGTCTATGGCCTTTTGCATGTCAATGTAGGGTAAATTACCAATATTTTGAAGGCTTAACCTGGGATTATGTATTTGTATGGGAGCAGAACCCATATATGGGCCTTGGTCCCAACAAAAACTGTAATTGTTGTTTTTACCTGATATATGGTAAATTACCAATATTTTTAAGGCTTAACCTGGGATTGTGTATTTGTATAGGAGCAAAACCCATATATGGGCCTTGGTCCCAACTAAAACTGTAATTGTTGTACCATGTAGTTGCTATATGTCTGATTTTTTTATCTGTAGTAGTTGCTGAATCAGATGACAACCTTTGATTTGGGATTATTATACAAGCTGATTTTGGCCTAGTTGAACCAATAAGTAGAACCATCAGATGGTGGATTCCAATGCTCCAAAGTCCAAGCATGAGATAGGTGGCAAGTTATGGGGACCCCACACTTGTGTACAGGTCCCTGCCTTGGTTTTCCTAACCCCTTCCAAACCATATGTTGGATGTTATAATAATATGTTGATGAAAAGACTTGTGTTTCCTGAAATGCAATTCAACTTCTAATTAGGATTTTCTTTTCTCGTATTTGTTTGGTGTTTTATTTACTGTGCTCGCATGCTATTATATTTCCTGAAAAGTTTTCATTGTTTTTCATTTTCCAATTAAATTCTCCATTTAATCTAATCATAATTCTAATTCCCATTTGTGAAGGTTGTTGGGAACTCCTACAGAGGAGCAATGGCCAGGTGTTAGTTCCTTGAGGGACTGGCATGAATATCCCCAGTGGAAACCTCAAAACTTGGCACGTGCTGTTCCTTCCTTGGAACCTGAGGGTGTTGATCTCCTATCTGTAAGTACTCCTTACCTGCTTTTCTTTTATTATGACTTTCAAAAGGTACATTGGTTAGAAATGGGTTCTTTAAATTTGAAGCTATTTTGAAGTCTTTCTATCTCTTTTCTTTGAAACAGAGGATGCTCCAATATGATCCAGCAAACAGGATTTCAGCAAAGGCTGCACTTGATCATCGTTACTTTGACAATCTTGACAAATCTCAGTTCTAGAATTCTCCTTGCCTTCATTTTTTTTTAATTTTGGATCTCTAGGGAGGAATGATTTACCTCCTATGAAGGTATAGCCTGTTACATGATCTAAGCATGCTTTTGGGGCAATATGGGTTGCCTCTTGCCAATTTGGGTCCTAGTGCATCATTAATGTCAGTTTTTTTTAACTGTTCGGCAACTTAGTATGCTGTCTTTATTGTACTGTAAGTCTGTAACAAGTGTTTCTGTTGTTATTTTTAAGAAGAAACTACATTAATATAAAATCGTTTTTTTTTTCTATGAGAAGCACAAAGACCGGCTAGAAATAGCTTTCTGGATGAATGAATGATAACCGGGTAATTAAAGGAGTAGAAGAATTAAGAGCCAATGTTTGGCTCTGAAATTTGACAATCTCAAAACCATGGATTCTAGGACAATGTTTGGCTTTAAACATTGCTCTCTTGTTTGGTACTATTTTTCCAAAAACTAAAAAAAAAAACGTTGCTTCAGACCAAATTCAATGTTTTCTGAGAACACGATGCATCATCTTAGACATTGGGTAGGTATTTTTTAATTAGAAGCCAAATCATTTAACCACAGCTTAGTTATACTGCAACGAGCCTTACGCAAGTGCTGGTTGGGGTTCGCCCATTAGCTACAAGCCTACAATAACATCAGTTTAATATATATATATATATGTAATATGTAAAAATAAATGATGAAAATATTGAAAAATAATGAAAAAAATCTATTTTAATTATTAATAGCAATATAATTAACAAATAACAATAATTATTTTTTTTTATAATTTAAGCTATAAAGAGTAGAAAATTACATTTAATTACCAAAAAGTTATATCTAATTACCAGAAAATTGCATTTAATTAGTTTAGCCAAGAAATTAGCAATATTTCTGAAAATATGATAATTCCCAAAAATTAGCATATTACATTTAATTACTTTTAATAGTTAACAATATTTTAATAATTAATAATAAAAAGTAACAAATCGTTTATAACTTAACCTAACCCGATTAGATTATAATTTGCATGCTCAAGCAACCAAGGTTCAAAGTATTTACACGTATCAACCGGTATGTATCAAGGGGCCTAACCAGTTCAGGGGGTGGAGGAGCCCTAAACCGGCCCCCCTAAACTAGGTTTGAAAAAAAATAAAAAAAAGGTATCGATTCACCCAATACACCTCTACCGGCATATCGGGTGTATTGATATTTTGAACCTTGCAAGCAACTATTTTCTTTTGAATTAGGTCTAGTTGAGATATGTATTGTGCCCACACATCATATCTGAAGTCTAATTGGGTATCAAACTTTTGGAGTCCAAAAGTCCAATGATGGTTTTAACAGATAGGGCCCAAGTTAAACCCTAATAAGCTCGACTTGGAAATTATATGCATATATGGTAAATATTATTATATAATATTTAAATAACAAAATTTTTATTAATATATAGAAATGTTATATATATATTTTTTATACTAGACTAGAATTACATAAAAATTTTAATTTATAAAAAATCATAGTTTTATAATTAACACGAGCCTCTTTATTAACAGAAAATCTGCAAGCCTGAGCTCGAGCCCAACTCAACCATCGGGCCTAGATCTTGAGTTCAAACCCAACCCTTATATAAAGCCCAAAGCTCGAGCCCGAGCCCGAGCTGTACACAAAATGTCTTATTTTCAGTATACTTTTATAAACTAATATTATATTAATTTAAAATAATTTAATAAACTAATTTCTATTTCCTAATAGTAATTTGATATTTATTAATAATTTAAGAAGCATAAGTACTTTTTTATATAACGGGCTGAGCTTATTTGAGAAAGCCCAAGCTCGAGCACACGAGCCTTAAATTTTGTCCAAGCCTGAAAAATAATGGGTCAGGCCAAGCAGGGCCAAGCCGTCGGGCTACTTGGCCCATGAATAAGTCTTAATTGTATATATAAACAATTGTATACATCAAAAATCATATGAAATAAAAATTTAAACATCTTTTTCATTTTTTTTTTTAAATTTGATCTCTCATAGCTTAGCCCGGCCCAACATGAACTGGTTTACACCTCTACTTGAACCCACCCAATACTAGGGACGGGGCAGAAAAATTCGAGAATTCCCCATCCTTGATGAGTGGGGTGTCTTGCTCCTAACTCGCTTGACATTGAGGAGTGATTGCCTTACCTTGAACCCGCCTGACACTGGGGACGGGCGAGGATGGGGTAGAGTGTTTTGACTATGGGGTGAGGACAATGATGGGGTGCCCCGCCCTGAACTCACCCTGTGATCATTCCTATATAATTGTTATTAAAATTACTATAAATTATTAATAAAACTAAATTTATTAAAAAATATTTGTTCATATTAAATTAACAAAAATTATTTTTTGTAAAACAACATTAAATGAAAATACAATTATTAAAATTAGTTAATTAACAATAAATTTTGATTATTAATTAATAATAAATAAATTTATTAAATCTTTCAGATTTTCACGTACATTGCACGGGTCCCTACTAGTTATATCTTAAAATAGTAACTAAGAATGTTTATTTATTAATGTGCTAGGAAATGTTTGAAAGCATAGATGTCAAAAAGAAGAACAATCAGTTGGCTAACATGTTGATGTTATAACTCTAACAAAAGACCTACAGGACGATTTAATTCCAGGAGAGATACTAAGCCTAAACTGGCCAGAGGAACCCGTAAACCCACATGAAGCTTCGACAATCAACAGTGTTTGCTCATGAAGTCATGTAATATAATTGGGCAATAGGAAGTTATTAAACAAGCTCACAACAAGAAAGCCCTGGCTTTCTCAAGATATGGACAGCTTGGATCACGTAAGAGTGATGGATAGGCCAATTGTTGTGCCTGATCAAGGTCTCGTGTGATCTGCTATGGGGAGAGAGAAAGAAGAGGAAGTTTCATACTTCAAATACATTTGGAAAGGCCAAGGTGGCTGAATTCGTGAAGAAGCAAGGTCTATTTTTTTGCCCGCATAACTTCGTTTCCTCATATACATGGGTGCACTAATGAACGTGGATTCAAGACTACTTGGCAATTTTCAGATTCTCGAGGCTCAAGCCCGCGAGACAGGTATGGACGTTCAGTTGGAATAGATTCCAAGCAAGGCAAGCAGGGAAAATCAAAAATGATATTCACTAAGAGGAGGCAAACACGATACTAAGACCTGTATGTAGTAACATGCAACATCAGGAAGCTCTGCATATAATCTTCCACCAATTAAATGAAGCTTAAATATTTAAACATGGAGAAATAATGCTTCAGTTGCTTTGTGAATGGGTCTGCGAAGCTAGTGTTTTTCTCCTAGATGCTTTACCTTCTATAAGCATCTGCTTGTAGCATTTAGTTTACAAAGTTAAAATAGCATCACATTTACAAAGTAAAAATGGGCAAGAAGGCAAGAAGTATTTGCATCAAGGTGAACCTCACCCGCACATACACAGGGCGGATAAAGCAAACGTCAACAGCTCTCCTACTTTAGAGCTTCCCTACTTTAACGAAACTTTGTCTCGTTTGATTTGCTGCTCCTAAATGTTGAAAGGGAGAAAAATGACTTTGTTGCTGAAAGCACAAACACAACAATGAATAGAGGAATCAGATGATGGTAATATGCGTAGTGTACGAGTGTATGCGTGTGTGTGTGTGTGAGAGAGAGAGAGAGAGTACATATATACAGATTAAGCTGTGACTGTGGCCTGAGGGACTGGGGTACCAAAATCAAGTTACCAACAGCATTCATTGCGGGTTTTGGAATGTTTGTCTTGATTCCAACAAGGGAGTGTCTACAGTCCTTATGTACCAAGGAGCCATAAATAGGTTTAGATCCTAGGTCCCTTTACCAGCCACCTATGTCCATTTGTCCCACAGTCGAATGGTGCCCACTACCCACCCATTTCAAATTTTTATGGATCATGATGGCCCCAGCCAACAGTTGTTCTGATCATATATCCTGTGAACAGAGGGATATATTCTTCAAGGGATGTCAATTATTGTCCGCTAAAGAAAGGGAAACCAATAATCATCAAATCATGATTGTAATAAGCCAAATATTCCCTTCACTTACTTTTTCTCTATCGCACAAATAAATATGTATATTTGGGGTGATGAAATCCCTTTCTTTGCAAGAAAAAACTTAACTTTTCTTTTCCTCTCTTCGTCCCACAAGTAGAGAAAATTTTGAACCATTTATTTATACGTGTGGTAATAGGTAATGAAGCTCATGCTATTTATATATTTTATTTCCCTAAAAGAAATCTTTTTTTTTTCCGTTCTTTTTTTGGTTTGGGTATAGTAAGAGTAGATATCTCTCTGTGAATTACAGCACTAATAACATAAGTACAAGGTTGTTTCAATGCATAACTTCATTCTCTACCAAAAGAGAAAAAAAAAAAAAGGTTTATTATACACTTCCAAAAGACATAAAGGCATGTTAAAGCCAAAAGCTTGCTCTTAATTCCATCACTATGCATATTGATTGAAGACAAATACTTAATTCAGCAACCTAGCTGTAGCTCAACTAACTTTGTAGAGTTATCTCTCAATTTGCTTGTTATAGTTAATCTAGTACAAGTGAGAAAATGACCCTCTTTTCTGGTGTTATAGTTAATCTAATGCTGGGGTTAAAAGATGTTCAAATTTCATAGGGGAGTGATTAAATTGAAACTGAATTGGTTGTTTGTGAGTGTAAATAGCCCCATATCTGATTTTTCTTTATTTTTAAATTCAAAAAATACAAAATACTAAAGAGGTTGTGAAACAATGTGAAAAAAAAACCACAAAGTTATAGGTTAGTAGTTATCTGAGGTAATGCTTGCTGTCTACGTGTGTGTGTGTGTGTGTGTGTGAGAGAGAGAGAGAGAGAGAGAGAGAGAGAGAACCCTTAGTTGAAGTGGCTGCAGCTGAGATGCGGCCATCCTGCAACTTTTGAGAAGACTCAGGAGCAAACTTGCTCTGGTTTGATTGAGCTGCAGACAGAAAGTTTCACCACCATTAGTTTTGCATGAGATTCCAGGAAAGAAGTAATAGACCTGATGATATCAACCAAAGAAATTTATCTAAAATGGAATAAGAGGAAATCTCAATAGAAAAAAAGGATAAAATCATATACTTGCTTTGAAAACGGAGAAACCATTTGGATAACATGGGAGATCAAGAAAAACAAAACACATATTTGGTGATCAAGAAAAATGAAATAAAATGCAACTTTTGTGATTCAGATAGGAGGAAGGGTAAATATACCTAACAGTCTATCATTAATAGTGAAATTTCCGCTATTATTACTTTCACCAGAGGAAGGTTTATGTTGCCCAAAGCTCTTTGCTTGAGAGGTAGCTTTCCTCAGTAGAGTATCAGCATTCCTCTTACTAGTGGTTTTTGGTTCCTCAGTGTCCTCCTCTCCTTCAGAAAAGACTGATGGGCTGGACCAACCAGTAACATTTGCTTCCCCCCTACTTTTTCGAGCAAATTTCAACAACCTCCTCAATCCTTTGGGTGCATCCTTTTGATAGACCATGGATGGGGGATTTTCAGCGTTCCCCCACTCCATAATCTCAGGTTCACCACTATCTTCTTGCAGCATCTGTGACAGGGAGTGACGAACACGGGGATTTGATAATACCACTGGTTCCTCACTTTTCAGAACCGTAATTTCAGGTGTGCTGCTTTCACAAGGAAGAGGCACTTCATGTTGATCTTCTGTTTCCACCCAGGCAATGGACGAGATAGCCGATTCCTCATCAGCTGGAACTTTAACCGGTAAGTCTGTGGTTTTTTCAAGGTTATCATCAACCTCAGGGGCAAATTGATCAGAAGTCTCTGTGTTTTCACATTTCTGATGGATATTTGCTGAATCTTCACCTTCTAAATTAGCACTATCACTTACTTGTGGAGCTAAATCTTTGTCATTCTGCTCAGTTACTGCCTCAGGAGTTCCATCAATTACCTCTTTCTCGTCAGCCTGAATAAGATTCCCACTATTTTTCAAAGATTCATCAGAGTGAGAAGCTTTTGACTTGATAACTTGACCCATTCCGGTGCCAACCCTGGACCCTTTCCGGAGAAAAGGCTTTGACTCCAATGGAACCACACTACTGTTCTTTTTGGTCACCTTGCTATAAAAACTAGGCTTCACTGGAACTGTGCCTGTATCATCTCCAGAATCTGGCTGGACTTTTGTCTTTGTTGTTCTGCCTCCCTTTACCAGTGCTTGCTGCTTCTTCTCAGCAGACTTTTTCAACCCCTGCTTAGTGTCAGTCTGGCTCCCATTAATGTTTCTTTGTTGCTGCTGGGATCTCTCCACTTTTGGGCTTGACTGAGTTGGTGATGGTGTTGCCTGAGGTTTCCGACGAGTTGATGGGGTGTTAGAGGGCATCCCATTAGGGGTTCTGGATGTTATTGTTTTTGTCGTTTTAGGGGATGGAGTTGATGGCCATGACTTACGTGTCGCAGGCAGAGTTGATGCTTTAGGTGAAGGTTTCCTGGAAATGGCAGGCTTTGAGGTTTCCTTTTTCTGTTGTACAGGTGGAGAGGAATTCTTTTCTGATTTTCTAGGCTTACCAAGGGAATCCTTTTTGCCTGCACTAGCTGCAGTTTTTGAGATCATTTCACTTTTCCTTTGGTCAACCACTTCCTGCATTGCTTTAATCTGTCCATCCTTCTCAGTTCGCTTTCCAGAATTTTGTCCTCGAAGTCTCTCATCTCTCTTTTCCTTGTAGTAATCGTAAGAGGCACCTTTCTTTTCAGTGAGCTCCTGGCTTCTGCTGTTTCCAGTTGCCATATTTCGATATCTGACAGGCTTAGTCTCCATCATTTGCATAAGTAATTGGTTTAACTCAGCTTCTTTCTGCTGACTCCATTCTGCAGAGGCTGTTAACCGGTCAGAGGCTGCTTCTGCTTGGGATACAGCATTATCTGTTGGATTATCTGTTGAATTAAATGATCTTATATTCCCTGCCTCAACAGAAGAATCTACCTCAGCAGTCTTAACAGGATCCACACCTTCGGCAGTAAGATTATTCTCTGTCATCAGGTCCATTGAATTCTTCCGATTTTCTCCAACTATTAAATTATTAGGAGTTACCTGAACAACACCTTCAGAAGCATTCTCCGACAAGCATTGCGTGGAAGAATCCCCCATGCCTGCACTCCATCTTCTCAAGACAGATTTATTTGTGCTGATAATGATATCTGCTGAAGACCTCCTCTGAGGATGTAAATCTTGATCTCTCTGTTTACTCTCAAAGAGACTTATTGCATCTTTAACACTCATTCTCAGTACATTACTGTCAGGTTTCTTCTGAAGCTGATCAGATTCTTCCTCATCACTGCTGTTCCCAGGAGCATTTCTGTTGGATGATACTCTTTCCCTAACAGGGAAATGACTAAGGCTCTTAATAGTTAGTGCAGTAGCCCTCCTTGATCCAGATCTCCCTATTTGGATTCTTCGCATTGGAGATGCAGACCTTCTAGGTGATGCAGATCTAATAAGAGGGCGGCTTCTTTCTTTAGATGGTTGATCTCCATCACTTGAGTTAGAGCATTCTTCGCTTTCTGATGAGCTTTGGCGCTCCAGTTGTGCAACTTTTGCAGGGGATACACCATATTTGACATGTTTAATTGTATGTACTGGAGAACACGTTTGAGGCATCCCATCTCCCATTTTCCTACTGTCATTCCCTGAATCCTGCAAGCATGTTGACTGCTCATTTTTGCTATCAGCATCCTGATTCTTTTGATAAAGTTCTATATACTTGAAAAAAGAATTCCTGGAATAAAAAAAAAATGTCAAAGAGTGCACGAGTATATATAATCAGCAGAACAGGAAAACAGGATTTATCTAATGATTGTTTTGCAAGTTGTAAAATAATAACAATGGAGAAAACTAAAATACTAACAGATCAATCCAAACCCAAATCTAGCAAATAGGGTACCTTAAATCTATTGCTCCAAAATGTTGAGCAAATAATGCTAAATCAGAAAGCTGTTTAGTGGAGCATGTGGAAGCTGCAATCTTGTTGAAAGCAGCCAACAATTCCTCCCTTAGTGCTGTAAGTCTCAAGTCCATTGCTCGCAGCAGTTCGTTTCTGGTAGTTTTCATTGTTGTGGTCAGAAGAAATGGGAACAAGGATAAAACTTGAAACATAATAGCAACATTCTTTTGAACTTACTTTGTGGCATCAGATGATGTGTTCTGAACTTCAGACTGTAGACATGTCAGAAATCATGTTAAGTAGCCAATAAACAATGATCAAAAGAATCTGCCCCATAATTCGAATTAAATGACATGATGTATTCAACAAAAGAAATGCGAAAGATAAAAGAACATACTCTCAGTGTTAATCCAGAATCTTTCAAGCTGTTGTCATCTGTTAAAGAGGAAAATTGGAATCAATTCTCCTTTCCTTTTTATTTTCTTTTAATTAGTATTGAAAATTGGAGTTCGAACTTTTTGCTAAGGAGAAAATAAACCTCATAAAATTTAAGGAGAAAAAAGGAACATATGAGAAAAGGGTTAGAACTATATATTGCAGTATAGTTGTCCTAATGAAGGTTTCATCCACAACAAAAATGAATTTATGAAAAAAGGGTTAGAACTACATATGTCACTGAGTACTAACCATGGCATAAAACATGCATGTGATGCTGGATTTCAGCATAACAATATTTGGCAGGATACTTAAGGAAAACAATTTGATGAACAACTTTCTCTTGCTTCTTAGCAAGTTTGAATAACTTGATTGTGGAACAAGATATAACTTATAAGAGTCAAGGATGAAGTCATGAAACATGCTCTAAATAGACATGTGTAAGCTCCCCAACCCCTTTCCCTTTGTAGTCATGATTCCTGAAGCTATTCCCAAAAAGACCACAGAACTTTGGTATGGCATTAATGAATTTTATCAGGGTCATCATTGATTCAAGGAACCATTATAAAACATATGGAACTTTTATATTCAGGTGTAAAGGGGAAAAATAGTGTGCCAGTGCACCAGAGAAACACGCAGAGCCAGTGGAGTGAAAGGAATAGTAGAATTTTTGAAAACAATGAATCTGAAGATGTCAACATCCTTACCAACTTGATAGAATCAAGAGATGGCATTGGCTATTGGTAATTTATTTGAGGCCTATACGAGAAGGAAAATCTCCAAGAGCAGAAACCATATCCCTTCTACAAAGTTTAAAACTAGTATAATCATCAGCTTGGGTGGGACAGTGATTGAAGTAAACTGCAGGGTGGTAATTAGCTGGATGCCCTCTAGTTATGGTGGTCCTTGAACACTTTAACATTACATCCAAGAAGCAAGACCATTGGCAAAGATTGAATATCTCATTCATCTGGAGTCCAAGTCTCCAAGATTGGCCGGCCAATGACTTTGCTGACTCTCTAGCAAGGGAAGGTCTAAAAAGGTCCTATCTAGACTTAGGTTCTCCAGGGCCAAATCTTTTGGTGTACGTCCCTTTTAATTGAGATTCCCATTATTGATTAAAAAGCCATTGTTTTTTTTTTTTTTTTTTTTCTAAATCCAAGGATAGCCATTACAAAAGAAACCATTCTCACAAAATATGTGACCTGAGCAATGAACCAAGGAACAAGTACAGAAAACATCCCAAACAATTCCAAGGAAAATCAAATTGGATATAAATTGTTTTATTTGTAGACAGTTATGGTAGGCCATTTATTGAAGAGAAGGCTAAAAGAAAAATGTTGAAGAGAAATATGCTAGCAGAAGAATATGGCCCTGTATTCATCATTTACTTAAAAGTTGTAAAATTACTAAGACATCCTTACACACAAACAAAGACAATTATATTCTCTACATAATTTTAGAAATGGGGTTATACGTTGGATTATCTAAATTCAAATGTTTCAAGAACTACATCATTACTTGGCTGAAAGGAGAGATGGTTGGACTGTGGCAGATTAGATAAATAAAAGTTATTGAGAACAGCTTTTGCACAGGTTCCAAGGCCTGCTAATACACTGGCTGGTTCCCTAGCTTGTGGTGTAATTAATAAGAAGCTTTGATTTGGGGGGAATACCTATTGTGTCAGAGGAAGACTGTGCAGTTGTAGTTCAACTCTATTAAGGGCTAAAGGAGCAGAATTGGGCAGACTATATGTACACATATAGTGACTATACTTGCTGTATGTCATCATTGTATATATTTTACCATCAAAAAGCACCACCATTTATCAATAAAAATTTATTCAAGAACTAAAAGGCGTGAATGTTAACATTATGTAAATATTTTTAAGACTTTACCAGGCATACCTGTTTCCCCATTTCCAGAAAGATCCCGTTTACCCTGTAAACAGTAAATGCTCTTACTTTCTGATGAATAACAAAGAGGCTAGGTTTCAGTTGGCAGAAGAGGTACAAGTTCTTACCTGTGAATACAAGGAAATGTGAAACCTTCTGGCTTCTTCCAGCTGCAACATCTCATCTTTAATTGCAGTAGCATTTTTTATTAATTCAGGTGCACCAACAATATGAAGAAACCTGATCAGAAATAATGGCGCTAACATTTATAGAGGAACTGAAGAAGAGGCAGAACCTACCTGAAAAGAACAGAATGACTAAAGAAATGGAAGGGAAAGGAAATATTTATTCATAACATGAACCTGGAAAGAGTAGATTTTGTGAACCATGCTGAGCTCCTGAGATTTGCAGGCAACTGGAGTTTGAAACTGTCACCCGATTCTCTGGGGCGGAAGTCCTTCACTTCAGGCAGATGAAATATGAGATGCTCCAGAAGACCAAAAGCTAGTTTCTCTACTTTGTTGTCAGCATATATAAATGCCTCATACCTATGAAAAAACAAACCAGATATCCTCAATAGCACAAGAACGTAGAATTAACAACTTTTTTTTCTTTATTTGAGTCATCAAAAGAGAAGTGAAGGAGCATCAAAAGGAAATGCTTCTTAAAATAAGCAAGAAGTGCACAGTACTGATTCCACGCATTTTAAGCTTGAGTGAGTCGGGGTTAATCCTCAAACACACAACCCTTAGAGGGGTAAACAACAATTCTTAGGTTCTGACTTCTAAAGACCTTGGTTTCAAGAAAAATAAATAACTCGAGCTGATCTACATTTAATAAAATTTTCAAATTTCCATTCACACGATCAAAAGGTGAATTCAATTGAACAAGATCTACACACACAAAAAAAAAAACTCTCAATTAAATTCTGCCCAGAACCATAACTCTTGATGCACTAAAATTGCAGAAAATGATAAAATAGTAAACATAAACTTCATCATTCATTATTTCAGGAATAGCCCCTTAAAATTTCACATCATGTTAGTGAGCAAAACCATCTTAAAATTACAAGGGAAATGCGCTAACCTGTTTTGGTCTGGAAAAATCTGAAATGCAGCATAATCTAAAGGTGCATCAACGTCTATTCCTCCTTCCATCACTAATCTCTACCTGTCTCAGAAGCAAATAAACCAATAGGAGAAGCTGTAATGCTCAACACCCTTCTGGCATGCTACAGGTATACAGCGTTTTGTGAATTGACCAGACAAACAGAAACACAAGCTTCGAACTTCCCAAGTTCGCTGCGAATGTTGACCTTGTGTAAACAAGGTTTAATCTGCAGTAATGCCAATTATAACCGAATTATTTAACCAGTATTTGAAAATGGATTTTTATTTTGAGAAGTATACATGTTTGGATCTAAAAAGGATAGAAGTATATACAAGGGAAGCCATGTACAACAAGGAGCTAATACAATGGATCTCAAATTGGCGCAAAAAGACATGCAAAAGTATTGACTACCCACAATGCACATAAAAATGAGCCAAAGCTAAAGAATACGAACTGTTGGAAGACATTGTTTAACCAATTGGTTCAATTGAAATTTTAAAATATTGCTCCAAGAATTAAAATAGCAAATTGAAAAGAAGAAGAAGAAGAAAAGTTTGAGTAATTCACAGACTACTAGAAACCTAAAGCATCATTAAACAGAAGAAAAATACAGCGTAATTTCAAACCCCTGCATGGCAAAAAAAAGGATGTTTACCGATAACTACAATCTACTAATCGATTGAAGGCAAGAACAACCGCAAAAGCTTTTTTTTTTTTCTTTTTTTTGGGGTGGTGGGGGGAGGCTTTATAGTCGAGTTCGTACAATGATAATCACATACACACATAGACAGACACAAAATGTCTAAAGTCCTGGCAAATAACAAAATGAAGAAGATCATGCTAACCAATGCAGAGCTCAAATCAGTATAAAAGGACCCAAAATCCGCCTTTCTATGCAAGAACTTCCATTAAGAGATGAAATTAACACGAAAAAAACGATTTTTCCGAATGAAATCCATCAATCCAACTTAAATCTGAGTAATTAAGGGGAAAAAAAGAATAGAAAACACTGAGTTAAGAGAGGTCGCCGACAAGGAGAACCCTAACGGTGTGAGTAAAACGAGAGTTTTGAACATACATTGCTTGAGTCCAACAGAAGCAAGCGGTTGCAGATCGGAGCAGAGGAAGCAACTAAGAGTAAAGGCCGAGTTGGAGGTAATTGGAACTCGGAGAAGAAGCTTACCTGCTAAGCAGAGCAGAGAGAGAGAGAGAGAGAGAGGGTGGGTGGAGATCTAACTCGGGCGTCAATGTCTGTGGCTCCTTTTCTGTCAAAAAATATATATATATATATATATATATATATATATTATATGTTATTATTTATTATTTAATTTATTAAAATATGTTTATTTGAACTTGAAATCTGGAGATTGAGAGATTCAGAGAAGCGAAGGAAGGAGAAAAGGAAGGGTGGTGTGTACTGGAGGTATAGGTGGCCGCGCCTTGTGAGCTGTGACTGAAACTCCAGTGATGAAGGCACTTACTTCCCGCAAGTGACACCGGAACTTGTGGTAATGGAAAGAAATGTTGAGTCGAAAATGCCCCTCAATTTCAAGAGAATTATTTTTCGTTACCACTGATTCTTTTTTATTATATATTAAATACAAAACAAATGGAGCTTGTAGGTGTAGGAATACTGTTTTCTGTTTGGAAGGTTGTGGTTAGTAGTTAAGACGATACATACGGCGAGACCTATGATGTGAAAAAGACGCGCTACGGTACAAAGATGGAAATGTGTTTCAAAGGGTCCCACTCCCACTTTGTCTGTATGGCGATTGGCGAACACGACCAAAGACTTTACAACCATTCCTCCATTTTGATTGATGGGCTTGTCTGGGAAATGAAAAAATGAGTGTTGTAGCTGCTGCTGGCATGTGAATCAGCTCAGTAGTTGCCACCTGCCAAATCAAATAAAACGTACACGAGTGCGGAGTGCCAAGTGCCATTAGAAGCTAAAATCATGGGGAAATAAATAATATAATTAGATTATTTTTAGGTTAACCTATTAATTAGTATTATCCAATTCAATGCAACAAAGAAATCATAGGACCCATCTATCTGATGAGTGATGATGGGCTATAAATTATTATAATGCTCGAAAAACGTAACACACATGACAAGGTTACGAGGAGGAGTTGGAGCCGAGGGAGGCGAGGGTCCAACTCCACCGTACTCCCTCCCATACTATACCAACGGTTACACGGTTTCTCTACTGTACGTACATACTTATATATACTAAATAGTCTTTATCTTAATTGTTACCAAGAAAAGGTGAAAGAGCAAGAGACAGACGCAGCTCCAAAGTCCAAATGGGGTAATAAGACATGAAGCTTAATAATGCGCAAAGAGCAGATCAGCACAAATATAGATGCCGATGGCGTTGTACTCACTCTTCTGCTCGTAATTGGTGCCAATCTGTTTTAATAGTCTGGAGTATGCATCTTACAGTTGCATCCATATAACAACAATGTATGTGTTTGATTCTGATTCTGTGGAGTATGATAACGTGTCATACTCCATCCTATGGCACGTTATCATCAGCGTGGTGGGGGGTAAAAAAGTAAAAAGCATGTTTACAAATAAAGACATGAACTAACAGCCAAGGTTAAGGCATTTCCCAATAACTCCCTCCCGTCCCTCCTCCTACTGTCGAGTTTGAAGATTTGTGAGCCATTCCAAATCTCTAATCCTATGATTACAGAACCATGCACATGCAATCAAAAAGACAAAAACACCCGTAATTGTTGCATAACTTGCCTTCCCTTTTTAATGGATAATCTGCATAAGCTTACATATGCCCACCACATGTTTGAAGATGGGACAATATTTTAAAGTAGTAGAAAAGAAAAAAGAACAAGGCCATAGTGTCGTTACTAATTAATTCTTATGGGTAAGTACATTTGATCAAATACATGTTTGATATAAAATAGTTTTAAAATATCATCTGAATTTTGAAACGATTTACTTTCTTTTCTATTGATTACCATTTCAAGTTGAAAACCATTCAACCAGTAACTGACCGAAACCATTTATAAATCTCCTATATAAAATAATCATCCCTGCCAAAATTCATAGTACTGGAGAGATTAGTTCTTTTTTATTTTAAAAAATACATAGGGTAAAATACAAATACTTCTCTTCAACTTTTGAGAAATTTAACAAAAGCCTCCCTTCTCTCACTTTCTTAAACAGAAAATGTTAGATTAATGCATCAATTTCTTCTAAATACCTATTCTACCTTTTTATAAATTATTTTACATACAAAATTACTGAAATAATCCCATTTTTTATTTGACAAAAATCTCTTTTTAACAATCATCTTCTAATGTTTGTATTGAATTAAAACATGGTTACTCAATAATTTTGTATGTAAAATAATTTATAAAAGGATATAATGGGTATTTGGAAAAAAACTACTACATCAGTCTATGAGTTTTTGTATGGAAACATGATAGAAGGGAGGTTTTTGTCGAGTTTTTCAAAAGTTTAGAGGAGATATTTATTAAAATGAAATTAAAAAGAAGGGTTTTTATGATTGTCAGCAATTTCAGAGGAGGTTTTTCTATTTTACTCAAATACATAATAGAGAGGCATGGGAAAAACGTAATTTCATCATAGGGCTGGACAGCTGTGTAAAAGTGGGTGGCATTAATAGAAAATTTGCGAAAGATCGAGGGGTAGATTGTAGGGAAACACATCCATGTTACAAAAAGAACGGAATAAGCGGGTCGGTGAAAAGGCAAATTCTCTCTCCTTAAAAGCATTCATCCCAGGCACATTCCACAAATGACGGTGTAGGGACCACATAATTTGGATGTAACCGCCACGTGTCAGTACGTACAGGTCGTCATGACACGAGGGTGAAATCGTTCAGAAATGATGAGAATTCGCAACGAGGAGCAAATTCGGACCGTTGGTTGAAGCTGGCGCCGGACGAGTTGACTGGTTTCTCCCCCCCAACGAGCGAGCACGTGACGTCCACATACATATAGATGGTAGACGTCATATAGTGACGGAATCATCGTCACCAATGTCCCATCAACCTAACGGACGTTAAAAATACAAGGTCAACAAATAAAGAAAGAAATCAAATACTCGCCACTCTTGTCACCGACCAGGACTGTAGGGCTTAGCCTGATCTGATCTTGTAAGTTAAGACTTCAAAAGACCTGTAGGACTGTTACGGGTGGAGGGAGGTCCAGCTCCATGCCTCCATTCACTCCATGATATCAGTATCATACGGGTATCATGTATGATGTATGTGGCGCCCAAGGTGCGTGCTCTCTCTCTCTCTCTTTCTGCTCGTGAGGATTTATTAAAAACGAGTGACACTTGGGTTGTTTTTGGTTTTGTGGGCGTATAAAATGCCGCCACATCACCACATAGATATAGGCGTTTATTGCATATGAAGCAAAATAAAACAACTGTTTAGGTTTTATCATTCATCAAATAAATGGTAGAAAATTGAAATACTTTAATTTTTGTGTATATGGCATTTGGAAAAATGTTAAATTCTTGTTTCTTCCATATTTCAGTGTTTCTTGAAACAAAATGCTAAAACTTTAGTTATTAGGGACCAACAACCTCCACTATTGAGAGAATTTTAGGAATGCCATGTTATTCTAAGAATGAGTAAATTAGTAATTACATATTAATTTATTTTTAATAAATACCAAAGCATGGACGTGAATAGGTGAATTACCCACAAACTATCTCAACAACCAAAATTAACCCTACTTTAATGGGTATTAATCTGAGGTAGAGAGTAAAAAACGTTTAAAGTGAAATCCAACCAAACAACAAAAATAAGAAAAATTTAAAGTAAAAAAATACAATTAAACATACTTGATGATTATATAGGCCCAAGTACCCAAAACTTATAGCTATAGTCACCTAACAAATCAAAACCAAAACCATTCATATTAAAGCTGATTATATAGGAAAATTGGAAAATTTTTAGGCGAGTAGCGAGATTTGATCACAGGAATGAGTTTGATTAGAAACACCCCCCACCCCCCCGAAAAAAAAAAAAAAAAAAATCAGATCTATCTCACACAACGTCCCACAGACAATCGGACATTGTGGGTCACAGATCTAAACTCCAAAAATAAAGAAATTTACAAATAAGCCAGGCAACACAAAGCCTTAAAACATGAAGCAGCAAAAAGATGAGGCTAATACTTATCTGTGGTCTATAGGGTAGATGATATTTACTCTTTATCCTTTAAAAGCGAAAGGTAGAAGCGATGCAAAGGAAGGTATATCTAAAACCTTTCCTTTCTATATTTCTTTCTTTCTTTCTTTTTTTCGACGATAAAGAAGGCCGTCGCTTAGAAGGGACAGAGTACGTAAAGGTGACAGAAAATAAAAGGTTAGCTTACCTTACTAATTAAAAGGTAAAGGGGGTGTAACTGGTGTCTGGTGGTATATTTTATCTAATACTAATATCGTCCATCACTTAAAGAGTTAGAGAGCAACAACCTAAAATAGAGAAGATATCATATTATCCATAAAGGCTACCACTGTTTTTAATAATTTTAATTTTTAAATAAAAAGGCAAAACTAATTTGTTACTTTCAATAATATCTTATCACTCTGAGTACCTAGTACCTTGTCAAAGGTTGATTAATTATTAATTGGTTAAACAATCGGTTGGTCGATATTTAAGTTGGAACAGAAAATTAAGGGGTATTTAAAGTGGTTAATTGTAAAAGAAAAAAAAAATGCAAAGGTGCCACCTAATTCAAACAGTAAAAAGCCGCCTAAGATTTTATTAAACACTTGCCAAGATATTATATATTGATATGAAATATTTCTTTATGAATAAACTTAATTAAGCACACAGTAGTCAAGTTAATTTTCCATGGTAGAAACTTTGTGGGTCGAAGCTTAAATGGTCAATGTTTTCGAACTGTTATTGACTTGGACGGTCGGACTTTTTAGATTGGAAATCGTTCAAGCGACCGGTTTTATTTTACCCTAAACCCGGTTTTTGGTAAAAAACTGTTGAATTAGTCAACGAACTGTTGACCCAAACGGTTTGATCGTTGAACCGTTAAGAGCCAAATTCGAATGAAAAGAGAAATCTCTCAGATCTTAGATCTCAAATCTACTGGAGAGAGAGAGAGAGATCAGTTGAGGGAGATCTCATATCTGTGATAGAAGACTAAGATCTGGAAGAGAAGGCTAAGAGTTTGGAAGAGAGGGCTAAAAGATCAATGAGAGAGATTTGAAAGATCTAGAAGAGAAGGCTAAGAGTCTAGATGACAGATC